CTATATCTCCATGGAACACTTCTCAAAACTAACCCAGAACTATATCTCCAAGGAACACTTCTCAAAACTAACCCAGAACTATATATCCATGGAACACTTCTAAAAACTAACACAGAACTATATCTCCATGGAACACTTCTCAAAACTAACCCAGAACTATATCTCCAAGGAACACTTCTCAAAACTAACCCAGAAATATATCTCCATGGAACACTTCTCAAAACTAACCCAGAACTATATCTCCATGAAACACTCTTTAAAACTAACCCAGAACAATATACCCATAGAACACTCTTCCAACTAACACAGAACTATATCTCCATGACACACTCCTTAAAACTAACCCAGAACAATATATCCATAGAACACTCCTCAAAACTAACCCAGAACAATATATCCATAGAACACTCCTCAAAACTAACCTAGAACAATATATCCATGGAACACTTCTCCAACTAACCCAGAACTATATCTCCGTGGAACACTCCTTAAAACTAACCCAGAATTATATCTTCATGGTACACTCCGCCACACGGCTACATCAACAAAGTGTCTTGGTCTAACGTATGATACAAAATTAACTTGGCAGAACCACATTAATGAAATTTCAAATAAAATCTGGAGACGAGTGAACCAAGCTAGAAGTCTGTCTTGATATAATACAGGCATATCACCCAATAACATACTTCATATATGTATAATCAACACACACGACAAGTGATCGAATACGCCTGTCGAGCATGGATAAATATAGCTGCTAAGAAAATATCAACTAAACTGCGAAAATTACAAAACACATTACTTACAAGTTCATATATATTTCCACGGACAAGAAACTCCTGTTTGCTATAATACATAACTATGGAAACATCCAATCACTCTACGACAGACTTCTAAACAGGTCATTCGCCTACATCAAGAACAACCTACATGTAAATGAATTATTACGCACAACAGATCGATATATCATACATGATGGAAGTACCTCTCACCCATAAATATGTATTATAAGTTTAGTAATCAGCCACCTATTGCAAGAATAATCTAATATATCATCTATGTAGTGTATGCTTTGTGTATTAAAAAACGGTTATATATATCAATACATATAATATAGGCTATAAAATGAAAAGAAATGAGAATATATGGGACTATAAATAGCGAAGTGCATACTAGCGTGAAAGATGAACGTGGTACATAAATGGGCATGGCCCTGATAGGGGTATTGAATCCAGACCTTGATACCAGTGTGAAAGATGAACATGGTACTTAAATGGACATGGCCCTGATAGGGGTATTGAATCCAGACCTTGATACCAGTGTGAAAGATGAACATGGTACTTAAATGGACATGGCCCTGATAGGGGTATTGAATTCAGACCATGACTTTTAATATCTAAATTCCGATGAATAATACCTCACTTACTAGTCTAGCCGTTAGTCAGACTTATTTTTAGCAAGGTTATCTTCAAACATTATTGCGTATTCATATAACTATATAATATATCATATACTCACACAAGCTATGTTGTTGTTTTGTGTATTGATATAGATAGATCAGATATCATATACTCACATAAACTGTGCTGTTGCTTGTGTATTGACATAACTAGACCAGATATCATATACTCATCCAAGTTGAGTTCTGGTTTTGTGTATTGACATGACTAGAGCAGATATCAAATAGTTACACAAGCTGTGTTGAGTTTTGTGTATTGACATAACTGGAACAGATATCATATACTCACACAAGCTGTGCTGTTTTTTTATTGATATACCTAGAGCAGATATCGTGTACTCAATAAACTGTGCTGTTGGTTTGTGAATTGATATAATTAAACCGTATATCATTAGATACACAAGCTGTGTTTTTCTTTTAGTGCATTGAGATGATTAGACCAGATATTATATACTCATACAAGCTGTGTTGTACTTTTGTGTATTGAAATAGAGACCAGATATCATAGACTCACACAAGGTGTGCTGTTGTTTTGTATACGAAGTAGATAGAACAGATATCATATACTCACACAAGTAGTGATTTTCTTTTGTGCATTGAGATAATTAGACCAGATATTATATACTCATACAAGCTGTGTTGTACTTTTGTGTATTGACATGACTAGAGCAGATATCATATGCTCAAACAAGCTGTGCTGTTGTTTTGTATAATGAAATGGACAAACTATATATCATATACTGATACAAACCGATTTGTTGTTTGTGTATTGACATAACTAGGCAGATATCATCCACTTAGACAAGCTGGGCTTGTCGTTTATGTACTGAAATAACTAGATCAGTTATCATATAGTCATACAAGCTGGGTTGTTCTTTTGTGTATTAACTTGAGCAGATCATATAACCTGTGCTTTTGTTTTCTGTATTGATATAATTAGACCAGATCTAATATACTTACACAAACTGTACTGTTGCTTATTGCATTGACCTAATTAAACCAGATATCCTACAATCACTCAAGCAGTGCTGTTGTTTTTTGTATTGACGTAAATAGACCAGATATCCAATAGTCACTCAAGCAGTGCTGTTGTTTTTTTGTATTGACATAACTAGACTAGATATCCTACAGTAACTCAAGCAGTGCTGTTGTTTTTTGTATTGACATAATTAAACCAGATATCCTATAGTCACTCAAGCAGTGCTGTTGTTTTTTTGTATTGACATAACTAGACTAGATATCCCACAGTCACTCAAGCAGTGCTGTTGTTTTGTGTATTGACATAACTAGACGAGATATCCTACAGTCACTCAAGCAGTGCTGTTGTTTTTTTGTATTGACATAACTAGACTAAATATCCTACAGTCACTCAAGCAGTGCTGTTGTTTTGTGTATTGACATAACTAGACCAGATGTCCTAAAGTCACACAAGCAGTGCTGTTGTTTTGTGGATTGACATAAGTAGACCAGATATCCTACAGTCACTCAAGCAGTGCTTTTGTTTTGTGTATTGACATAAGTAGACCAGATGTCCTATAGTCACTCAAGCAGTGCTGTTGTTTTTTTGTATTGACATAAGTAGAGTAGATATCCTATAGTCACTCAAGCAGTGCTGTTGTTTTGTGTATTGACATAACTAGACCTGATATCCTACGGTCACTCATACACTGCTGTTGTTTTTTGTATTGACATAACTAGACCAGATATCCTACAGTCACACAAGCAGTGCTGTTGTTTTTGTATTGACATAACTAGACTAGATATCCTATAGTCACTCAAGCAGTGCTGTTGTTTTTTGGTATTGACATAACTAGACTAAATATCCTATAGTCACTCAAGCAGTGGTGTTGTTTTGTGTATTGACATAAGTAGACCAGATATCCTACAGTAACTCAAGCAGTGCTGTTGTTTTTTTGTATTGACATAACTAGACCAGATGTCCTATAGTCACTCAAGCAGTGCTGTTGTTTTTTTGTATTGACATAACTAGACTAGATATCCTATAGTCACTCAAGCAGTGCTATTGTTTTGTGTATTGACATAACTAGACCAGATGTCCTATAGTCACTCAAGCAGTGCTATTGTTTTGTGTATTGACATAACTAGACTAGATATCCTATAGTCACTCAAGCAGTGCTATTGTTTTGTGTATTGACATAACTAGACTAGATATGCTATAGTCACTCAAGCAGTGCTATTGTTTTGTGACATCCAGTAGGAACTTGGCACATAAGACAGAAGTTGTTTCTATATTATCAGGATGTGCATACTGTTGACCTGGAAGACTTCAAGTATGGAAAATCCAACATTACAGCCTTCAGGATTGTAGACATGGGAAGTCCAGAACTACAAAGCTTGTTTGACGAATGGAGTCAGTTTTCTGTTTTCGGGCGAAAAACGCAGACTCATCAGCGCACAATAAAGGTATGATTTACAGTTATGTTCTTAAAATATACAATAATGAATAATTACAAAGGTATAACTTTATCTCTCTGATATATCCAATAGTGTATAATTATAAAATATGACTTTATACTGATATAACTGAAATAGATAATAGTGAATAATTATAAAGGTATGACTTAACACCGAGTGTACTGATCTATACAGTGAAGCATAATGATAGAGGTATGATATTTAGATTAATAGTTAGTAGTTTTTAAAATACTATTTAGGTGTAAAGGTGTGAAATTAGATTAATAGTTAGTAGTTTTAAAATACTATTTAGGTGTAAAGGTGTGAAATTAGATTAATAGTTAGTAATTTTAAAATACTATTTAGGTGTAAAAGAGTGAAATTAGATTAATAGTTAGTAGTTTTAAAATACTATTTAGGTGTAATGGTATGAAATTAAATTAATAGTTAGTTGTTTCAAAATACTATTTAGGTGCAAAGGTATGAAATTAGATTAATAGTTAGTAATTTTAAAATATTATTTAGGTGTAAAGGTATGAAATTAGATTAATAGTTAGTAGTTTTAAAATACTATTTAGGTATAATAGTATGAAATTAGATTAATAGTTAGTAGTTTTAAAATACTATTTAGGTGTAAAGGTATGAAATTAGATTAATAGTTAGTAGTTTTAAAATATTATTTTGGGTGTAAAGGTATGAAATTACACTGACAAAATACTTTCGTAATTGTTACTTTCATTAACATTATTGGTTAAAATGCTTAATGTATATATATTTATAATTTTTAAATTATTACTATTATATCTATATCATAAAGATTATTAAGTTTTCATATAGATCATAAGGTGGCTGAACTTTCTGATATATTATTAGGATTATGGCTGATGATATCGCTAGTAGTGAAGACAACAAACTAATGATTTTGTTTTTGTTGTTAAATTTCGTACAAAACTAGTTGAGAGCAATCTTCTGTAGCTGTTCCTCCTATAGAAGTGATAGACTTGAGGGAAGAAAGCTAGTCAATACCACCTACCGCCAACTCATGGGCTTCTTGAATTCAATAGTGGGATTTTAACTGTCATTCTTATAACACACCCACGGCCCCAAAGTGCGGAGCGCGAACCTCGAATCAACAGTTTGTCACACTAATATGTAACATTCTATCTTTCCCACCACAACTGATAAAGGAATACATTTCAACATTTATAAATAGGAACGTAAGACCAGTATATCTAACTAACTATAGTTATTAAGAGAAGAACTGTCAGTTGTGAACTAAGTAAGTAGCATGAACTAATAAATATAATTATAAAATTATGCAATTGTACCTAATAATAAAAATATGCTTTATACAGACAATATAAAATAACAATAATAAGGGTATAACTTTACAATGAAATTATAAAATATACCATATATAACTATAAAGGAATGAGTGTAGATTGACTAAATAAAATAACAATAATACATAATTATAACGGTGTGACTTTATATTGAAAAATTTAAATACTAATGATACATAATTATAACGGTGTGACTTTAGATTGACTAAATAAAATAACAATGATACATAATTATAACGGTGTGACTTTAGATTGACAAATTAAAATAACAATGATACATAATTATAACGGTGTGACTTTAGATTGACTAAATAAAATAACAATGATACATAATTATCACGGTGTGACTTTAGATTGACTAAATAAAATAACAATAGTACATAACTATAGTGATATGAGTTTAGATTGACTAAATAAAATAACAATGATACATAATTATAACGATGTGACTTTAGATTGACAAAATAAAATGACAATGATACATAATTGTAGTGGTGTGACTTTAGATTGAAAAATAAAATAACAATAATACAATGATACATAATTATAACGGTGTGACTTTAGATTAACAAATTAAAATAACAATGATACATAATTATAACGGTGTGACTTTAGATTGACAAATTAAAATAACAGTATTACATAATTATAATGGTATGAGTTTAGATTGACTAAATAAAATAACAATGATACATAATTATAACGGTTTGACTTTAGATTGAAAAATAAAATAACAATAATACATAATTATAATGGTATGACTTTAAATTGACAAATTAAAATAACAATAATACATAAATTATAATGTATGAGTTTAGTTTGACAAATTAAAATAACAATAATACATAATTATAATGGTATGACTTTAAATTGACAAATTAAAATAACAATGATACATAATTATAACAGTGTGACTTTAGATTGACAAATTAAAATAACAATATTACATAATTATAATGGTATGAGTTTAGATTGACTAAATAAAATAACAATAGTACATAACTATAGTGATATGAGTTTAGATTGACTAAATAAAATAACAATAGTACATAACTATAGTGATATGAGTTTAGATTGACTAAATAAAATAACAATGATACATAATTATAACGGTGTGACTTTAGATTGACAAAATAAAATAACAATAATACATAATTATAGTGATATGAGTTTAGATTGACTAAATAAAATAATAATGATACATAATTATAATGGTGTGACTTTAGATTGACAAAATAACATAACAATTGGTACACAATTATAATGGTGTGACTTTAAATTGACAAATTAGAATAACAATATTACATAATTATAATGGTGTGAGCTAGTAGAACTTTGTCAGAGCTAGTAGAACTTTCTCATACCTGGTAGAACTTTCTCAGATCTGGTAGAACTTTCTCAGACCTGGCAGAACTTTCTCAGATTTAGTAGAACTTTCTTAGATCTGGTAGAACCTTTTCAGACCTGGTGCAGTATGTAGCTTGTACTGAAGAGTTAGATTGACACCAGCCACAGTTATTGGAACAACCATGTAGTTGTTCTCCAGTAAATGGTTAAAACTGGGAGAAAGTTCAAAGAAGGATATTTCAGATAAAAAGGAAACACTGTCTGAAGTAAGTTCAAATAGGGGGAATATCAGATAACTAGGAAACATTGTCTGAAATAAGTTCAAATAGGGGGGATATCAGATAACTAGGAAACATTGTCTGAATTAAGTTCAAATAGGGGGAATATCAGATAACTAGGAAACATTGTCTGAATTAAGTTCAAATAGGGGGGATATCAGATAACTAGGAAACATTGTCTGAAGTAAGTTCAAATAGGGGGATATCAGATAACAGGGAAAGATTATCTGGAGTATCCAAGTCTATGGGGTATTTTTTAAAACTGGGGAAAGTTCAGAGAGGGATATATATATATCCGATAACAGGGAAAGATTGTCAAATTCCGTTGGGTGTTGTTAAAACTGGGGAAAGTTCAAAGAAGGATATATCATATAACGAGGAAACACAGTCTGAAGTATTGAAGACCATTAGTTTGGTTGTAAACCTTGAAAGTATACCTCCAGAAAGGTGAATAACTGTGAGAACATAACTACATCCCGTACGTTTGGTACTCCTTTCATTGGTACTACTCAAGAATGATTAGGCCTCTGGAAAGTGAATATTCAGGAAATAGAAAAGAGGTGAAATGAAGTAATAACATTGGTAATGGAAGATTATATGGAGTACAACAAATTGTTGGAGAACTAAGCACAGTTTGGCGTTTTTGAGCAAAAGAGTTAATAAAGTCATGAAACCTACAACTACATACTGCAAGGAACTCTTGATATATATCTGGTAAGAAGGCCAGTGTGCATCCCTGTAATTTCAGTTACTTCTCTTATATATATATATATATATATATGTATTTGTATTGACTATGTGAATTAGAATTGAAAGATCATCAAAAGTTCGTGGAACAATGTGAACAATTAGTGAAACCAAATTTACTGAGACTACAACAACAGCAGTAGTTATAATGAATTCAATGTTTAGAAACAAGTAGATTTACATAAGTAAAAAATACATAAAAACAATAACAGTTTTAGGCCCATAGTATCAAATATAGGTTGATCATCTTTTGAAATAACAAAATTTATAACACGTAAGTAGTCTAATAAGAACAAACATACAGTCAAAAATTCTATAGAATTTGTAGAGAAAATAAAAAACCTAAAATTAGAAAAGGAAGTTCTACTACTATCGTTTGATGTAATATCGTTGTTTACTAAAACACCACTAGATGACGCTATTAGATGTTTTGGGAATAAATTAATAGAAAACAGAGTACCAACAGTTGAAATAATAGATGTATTGAATTTAACAATAGTGTGTGTAGATAATCCATTTTTCCAAGTTAATCAAAATTATTATGAACAGAAAGAGAGTTTATCTGTGGGATCCCCCTTGTCGCCGTTGTTATGTGACCTTTATATGGATAGTTTTGAAAACGAAGCTTTAAATAACGCTAAATTTAAGCCAGAAGTTTGGATAAGATATTGTTACGACAGCGGGAGTCACGCTACACTAGGAGCATGCGCGCTGAAGTTTCTAGAAGGGTCGTGAGTTAGTGGGCAACCTCACTAATGTCCCAGCGTTTGC